CAGGGTGTCGGGGTGCCCAGGGGGCTGCGGGTCGGGAGTGAGGGGCAGCAGGTCGAGCTCCTGTCTGATTCCTCCATGACAGCTCCAGGTCCCCCCAGCCCCCGCTCCACCCGGATCCCCTCTTTCCTCAGCCCGCCCAACCTCCCTCCCCGCACATCCCGGCAAATCCCCCCACATCTCCCCCTGCCCTGATCCACCCCCCCATTGTCCCCTCCCCCAATCATCCCCCGCCTACTCCTCCCCTCCCCCAACTCTCTCACCTTCCCCCCCTCATCTGCACATCGCCCCCTCCCCGGCCCGCTCCCTCTTACCTCTCAGCTGTCTCCAGGTCACGGTGGGCTCTGGTTTGCCCGTGGCCATGCACAGCAAACTCACGTCACTCCCCTCGTTCACCGTCACGGCCGAGGAGATGTTCGTGATCCGAGCCGGCACTGCGGGAGGTGGGGGGGGGCGGGCAGGGAAGAGCAGTGAGAGCAGCGCCAGCCTCCGACCTCCGGGGGCGCCCTCTTCTCTGAGCCCCCATGCCTGGTGCTAGGGGTTGACCGAGTGGGGCTGGTACCCAGATGCCCCACCCCAGAAGTGGCCGCATCTCAGAGCCAGGCGAGGGGTCCCTGTATAACCATCCCCTGTGTCCCGCCCCAGAGGTGGCTGCATCCCAGCACTGGGCGAGGGGTCCCCGTATAACCAGCCCCTGCACCCCACCCCAGAGGTGGCTGCATCCCAGGGCTGGGCGATGGGTCCCCGTATAACCAGCCCCCATGCCCCACCCTAGAGGTGGCCGCATCTCAGAGCCAGGCAAGGGGTCCCTGTATAACCATCCCCCGTGTCCCGCCCCAGAGGTGGCTGCATCCCAGGACTGGGCGAGGGGTCCCCATATAACCAGCCCCTGCACCCCACCCCAGAGGTGGCTGCATCCCAGGGCTGGGTGAGGGGTCCCTGTGTAACCAGTCCCTGTGCCCCACCCCAGAGGTGGCCGCATCTCAGTGCCGGGCGGCGCATGGGGTGTTAACATTGGACTTCCCCCCTCCCCCCCCATGGGACAATTTGGTAGAAAAGCCAAAAAAAGCCACCCCTTGACGTGAGTCTCCCCCAGCCCCGCTAACAAGGCCCATTGTGCGAGCTGATTGGCCGAACGACGAGGGCCGCAGCCAATCAGGGTGAAGCGGCGAACAGCTGCGGCAGGGACCCCGCAATTGTCCCCCCCGGATCTAATCAGGCTCCATTGTCCCCACTTCCTGGCGCCGCGGGCACCTGGGGGGCGGCAGCTGAGCCGGCAAAACCTCCAAACGGTGCCTAGCTCCAATCACGCGGGGCTGGGTCTCCAGGGCCTCCTGGCCTGGGCCTGAAATGCAGCCAGCTCTGGGGCGGGGCGCAGGGGCACTGACGTCCCAAACTCAGCCCCAAGTGACAGGGTCCTGGGCGGGGGGCGGGGGTGTCACAGGCACTAGGGATGGACACACATGTGGGTCCAGCACCAGCCCTACAGCAGGAGACAGCCCTGCCCCTACTGGGACCCCTGACCCACCCTCTCCCCCAGCTTCCCCATAGATCTCTGTGCAGCGCCCCCCATGGACCATCCCCCATCCCCCACCACATGCACCTGCCCCCTTCCCCAGCTGCCAATCCCCCCTCCCCTCTCGGCTGTGCATCGCTGGACAGACCCCCTCTCCCCCGCATGACGGCCCAGCCCCCTCCCCCTCCTCTGCACCCACCGGTCCTCGCTCTTCCATCTCTGCCCATCCCCCCACCCCAGTCACTGCCCATCCCCCCTACCCGTCCCTGCCCAGCCCTACATCCCCATCCCCGCATCCCAGCACATCCCCCCACCCCCAAGGCCCCCAACCTCCTCTCCCTGTCCCTGCCCATCCCAACCCCATCCCCATCTCTGCCCATCCCCCCACCCCAGTCATTGCCCACCTCCCCCACCTCCCGACCCATCCCTGCCCAGCCCCACACCCACAATCCCCCATCCCTGCCCAGCCCCACACCCCCATCCCACCATCCCAGCCCATCCCCCCTCCTCTCCCTGTCCCTGCCCATCCCCACAACTCCAGCCCCATCACTGCCCAGCCCCCCACCCTCTGCCCCAGCCCCGCCCCTCCCCCGCCCCGTACCGTGCACGATGAGGTAGACCTGGGCCGTGTGGGGCTTGGCCTGGGTCTGGAAGGAGCAGGTGTACAGCCCCTCGTCCCACACGTCCACGCTAGCGATGACGATGCTGAACTCGGCCGGGCTGTTGGTGAGCAGCCGGACCCGCGGGTCGATGGACCACTTGTCGTTCCCGGCGTACAGGATGTTGGAGCGATTCAGCCAGGCCACCCGGGTCACCTCCTCGTCGATGGAACAGCTGGGGGCAGAGACAGCGGAGGCTGCGGGTCAGGAGTGAGGGTCACCGGGGAGCCCGTGGCTGGGCTGGCAGGGGGCTGCGGGTCGGGAGTGAAGGGCACCGGTAGAGCTGGGAGGGGGGAGCCCGCGGCTGGGCTGGCAGGGGGCTGCGGGTCGGGAATGAAGGGCACCGGTAGAGCTGGGAGGGGGGAGGCCGGGGCTGGGCTGGCAGGGGGCTGCGTGTCGGGAGTGAGGGGCACCGGGGAGCCCGGAGCCGGAATCCCCCTTTGCCTCTTAGCTCTGCTATGGTGTGGCTGTGAACCAGCTCCCCCCCCAAGAGGTGGCTGCATCTCAGCACTGGGCTGAGATAAAAAACCTTGACAGAGTTATTGGAGCTGGGAGCCAGGACTCCTGGGTTCTATCCCAGGCTCTGGGAGGGGAGTGGGGCCTAGTGGTTGGAGCAGGGAGGCTGGGCGCCTGGACTCCTGGGTTCTCTTCCCAGCTCAGGAGCAGTTGTGTGTCCAGACCCAAGGTAGGCGAGATGTCGGAGCTTCTACAGCTCATCCTCACTCCCGACCCGCAGCCCCCTGCCAGCCCAGCCCTGCCCCCCCCGACTTCTGCCGGTGCCCCTCACTCCTGACCCGCAGCCCCCTGCCATTCCTGCTCGCTCCTGTCTGTGAGCCCCCGGGTCAGCAGAGTGAGATTGAATTAGGGGGGCTGTTTTCTCTTCTTTAATGCCACAATCACTAAATAATTCCAGCTCTCAGGGGATCCAGGAGCCAGCAGCCGGCAGCTGCAGGACGTGAATTGGACAGCGCTCGGCCGATCACACTGTGAGATCCGCAGGGACCAGGGCGGGGCTCTCCCCTGGCAGCCAGGGCTGGTCCCGATGCCCCAGTGTGGCACTAGGGGGCGCTGTGCTGCAGGGGGCGGGGTGGGGGCTCTCCCCTGGCAGTCAGGGCTGGTCCCGATGCCCCAGTGTGGCACTAGGGGGCGCTGTGCTGCAGGGGGTGGGGCGGGGGTCTCGTTCTAAGATCTGTGCGGGGGAGGAGGAGGGCGGGGGTCTGGGAGCGCCCCCTGCTGGGTGTGTGCGGCTCACAGCCTGCGTTTGACCAGCTCATTGTCAGTCGGGGGTGGGGGTGGGGGGGGGAGTCACAGACAATGTTAGGGGCCGGGGAGCCAGCCTGGCTGGGGGGGGGGGGGGGGGGGGGGGGGAGGGGGAAAGGGGGTGGGGGGGCCCTGCGGGGGGCTGTGTGGGCTACCCCTTCAGCACCCACCGCGAAGCCCCACTCCCAGCCGCCCCCCACCCCACTTACCCCCAGAATCTAGGTCAGCCCAGCCCCATCGCCCCAGGGCAGAGCTGCTGGAAGGGCTGCGGCGGCTGGGGAAGGGGGGGGGAGCCGGATCTAGGTCAGCTCTGAGCATGAGTCAGGCTGGCTGGTGCATTGCAGGAGGGAGCGGGGGTAGGGGGCGGGGGAGAGAGAGAGAGACAGGGGTGTGTGGGGATAGATAGATAGATAGATAGATAGATAGATGGGTTTGTATGGGGATAGATAGATTAGATAGATAGATAGAGGGGGTGGATGGGGATAGATAGACAGACGGAGAGTATGGGGATACATGGATAGATCACAACTTTTCACATCCCTTCCTGGTGCTCTGAAAAGGACCCACCCACCGAGGGTCTCTGGTCCAGGCACTGTAGCACTCAGCTGTTACGGTTGAGTCTCTCCGATGTGGATTGTTATTATAGGGTCTTTTGGCAGTTATTGTTAGGGTCTCTGAAGCATAATTTATCATCGCCGGGTTTCTCATCCGAACCCTAATGTTGCACATGTTTGTTATTGTAGGGTCTCCATCAAAACATGCTCAGATGAACCCTGCTAGTCCAGCCCCGGCCTGCCCCCCATCCCAGTTCTGCTGGTGCCCCTCACTCCCGACCCACAGCCCCTGCTACCCAAGCCCCGGCCTGCCCCCCATCCGAGCTCTGCCGGTTCCCCTCACTCTCAACCCGCAGCCCCTGCTACCGAAGCCCCAGCCTCCCTCCCATCCCATCTGCCGGTGCCCTTCACTCCCGACCCGCAGCCCCCTGCCAGCTCAGCCCTTGCACTGAAGCAGGGTTTGGTGGGTGTACCTAATCTGGCTTTTTGACAGCATTATTTGCTCCCCCCCCCCCCGTGGGGTGAGTGGCATTAGGGGGCGCCCTGCTGTGGGGAGCGGGGTGGGGGCCCCTCCAGCAGGGGTCGGCAGGGTCAGAGACACCCAGCCTCACCCTCACAGCGTGGGGGCCGCTCTGGCAGGGTCTCACCTCAGAATGGCATTGTCCCCTTGACACACGGTGTAGTTGTCGGCCGGCTGGTTATACTCCAGGCTCCGCACCAGCAGTCCTGAGGGCAGAAAGAGAGAATGGATGAGATAATGCGTGGGGACGGCTCGCCCAGTGCTGAGATGCAGCCACCTCTGGGGTGGGGCAACTGTGTAACAGCCGCACATAACACCACACAGGGCTGGTTCACCTGGTGCTGAGATGTGGCCACCTCTGGGGTGGGGCAACCGGGTAACAGCCCCACATAACAACACACGGGGCTGGTTCATCCAGTGCTGAGATGCAGCCACCTCTGGGGTGGAGCACGGTGGCTGTTTAATTCAGAACAATTCAGTACAATTTCAGGTGGGAAGTGAATGAAAATCTCAGTTTGAGGATTTAGGGAATCTGAGTGGAATCACCCCAGCTGGGGTTTGGCCCAGATCCCCGTATTCAAGCCCTGCCCTTTGGAGGACATGCTAGGGCCTCTGGGAGCACAGCGCCCCCTAGTGCCGCCCTGGGGTATCGGGACCAGCCCTGACTGCCAGGGGAGAGCCCCCACCCAGCCCCCTGCAGCACAGCGCCCCCTAGTGCCGCTCTGGAGCCCCCTGGAATGTGAATTCAGCTGAGGCCAGCAGGAGGCGCTGCCCCCTATGTACAGGCCGCTCTGATCCCAGCCCCATCGCCCAGCACCCGTCCGGGTCCGTTCGGGGGATTTCGGTGATGGATACTCGCCCCCCTCCCCGGGACAGGGAGTCACAGGCCAAGAGTCCCTCAGGCCTCAGCAGTGGCTTGTCTCATTTCAACACCTGCATCTCAACCTTCACTGCACCCCTCCTCACCCCCCACACCATGTAACAACCTCAGAGGAGCCGAGAGCTGGGATTGGGGGGGCTGCGGGTCAGGAGTGGGGAGCACCGGCAGGGCTGGGGAGGCAGGGCTGGGATCACGGGGGGCTAGGGGGAGTGGGGAGCACCAGCAGGGCTGGGGGGAGCAGGGCTGGGGGGGTCACGGGGGGCTGTGGGTCAGGAGTGGGGGGGGCTCCGGCAGGGCTGGGATGGGGGGGGCTTGGGGGAGTGGGGGGCACAGGTAGGGGTGGGGGAGCAGGGCTGGGATCACGGGGACCTTCCCGGCTCCCTCAGGCCGATCCTGACCCGCAGCCACGTGTGTCCCCTCAGCTGAGCGGGGGGGGGCGGGCCGGGCCCATGGGGTGACGGGGGGGGGGGGGGAGCCCGGCTATTGGCCCGGGCGGGACCGGTCCGTAGCTGCAGCAGGGACGCAACTAAGCGAAGCCGGGGAGGAGCCCGCAGCGAAACGGGGGCGCCCCCCCCCCCAATGACCCGGCCAGACACGGGGTGGGACTGGCGGGGACGGGCGAGCAGGGGGCTGCCGGTTGGGAGTGAGGGGCACCGGGGAGCTGCCTGGGGAAGCGGCTGGGGGCGGACAGGAGGGGGGTGGCGGGGCGGACGGTCACTTTGCATTCAGAGCCAGCAACACGGTGACGGGGGAGACGGGCACAGACAGAGATCGATCATCGCCCGGCACCCCGCCGCCCTGCCAGCCCCCTGCCCCCCTCCAGCCCCGTCCCTAGCCTCTGCCCCCCCCCACCCTGCCAGCCCTCTCACCTCAGCTCTGCCAGCCCCCTGCCCCCCCCCCAGCCCTGCTAGCCCAACCCTGGGCTCCCCCCGCTCTGCCGGTGCCCCTCACTCCTGACCCTGCAAGCCCCGCTCCTATGGGGGTATGAAAGTGGCTCTCACTGCATGACTAGTAACACCCCTCCCCCCATCAGTGCACCCCCCCACACACACACACCGCACACACAGTCTCTCTGTCTGGCTTTGGCTAATTCAGGTGATCTATGGAGCCTGGCCATGATGCACACTGAGGTGCAGCCAGGTCTAAATGCAGGAGCCGGGGCCGGGGGAGGCTGGGAGCCCGGACTCCTGGGTTCTCTCCCAGCTCGGGGGGGCCGTACAGTGATCTGAGCCACGGCCTCGAGCTGGTAAGAAAATGCAGCACATAAAAATGGAGACAGTGTTTATAGTAATGATCCTCAGGGTGTCGTTAGCCAGCTCGGAGTGAGTGTGTGTGTGTGCGGGGGTGGGGCGTAGGGGGTGTCCCTGCTGCCCTGTGTTACATACTGCACCCACGTACCTGATCGAGCATGCACACCCACACCCACACGGCCCAGCCCCTCCAGGACGGACACACACACGCACACACACACACACGGCCCAGCCCCTCCAGGACGGACACACACACACACACACAGCCCCTCCAGGACGGGGACACACACACACACGCACACACACAGCCCCTCCAGGATGGAGACACACACACGCACACACACACACAGCCCAGCCCCTCCAGGATGGACACACACACACACACACACACACACACACGGCCCAGCCCCTCCAGGACGGGGGACAAACGCACACACACACACACTTCCCTAGGGCAGGGTAACCCCATTTAAACGCCGCCCCTACCCTCACCCCAGTCTCAGTCCAGCACAGAAGTGGGGGAGGCAGCTGGCCCCCCACCTCCCTGAAACCAGAAGCCAGCTCAGGGCCACACACTACCCCCCCTATCCCCGGGGGAAACTGAGGCAGTGATTGGGCCAGTAGGTTTCCCACTTCTCCTTGGGGCATTTTCCGGGGGCGAGTTCTGCTGTTAGTCCAGAGTCACCCCCTGACTGCGCCAGGGCCAGGGCCGGATTTCGATATCTAGAGGGGGTGTGTGCGGACAGATGGGCGAGGCAGGCGAGAGAAGGTACCTATGTATTCATCCCCCCATCCCCATCCCCTCCCCCGAGCTCCCTGACAGATCCTTCCCATCCCCTCGCTCACACCAATACACTTCTCACCTTCCTGGCTTTGGGTTCCCCATTTGGGGGGAAGAGGACAACAAGGGGGTCAAGACTGTGAGCCTCAGTTTCCCCTCCCATCCCTCCTCTCTCACTGGCTTTTCCCCAGGTCCCCCCTGCTCTAGATTCTTCAGTCCCTCGCCGGTGGGATCCCAGCTGGGTGGGGGCGGGGATTCAATTCTGGAATTGGGTGCAAAGGACCGAGTGGGGGTGGGGAGGGGGAAGGAAATTGTCGTCTGCCTCCAAAGCAGGAAGATGCTGATCGGAGCTGGCAGGGCTGCAGTCCCTTCCCGTCCCGGTGGCCTTTTCAAAATCAATAAGCTCTTTCTGAATTGCTTGCTCACACGGGGTGTCATGTCGGCATTTCAACCAGTGTGTCTTGGCCCTGGTGACTCCCCCCCCACATGCACACACAGCGGCACGCTGAGAGCTAGGGCCCCCCAACTCGTGAGACAGCCTCCTCCGAATCACACGTTTGCTCCCCCAAAATCACGTTGTTGCCTTCAGCCCCAAGAGCCTGATGCCTAGAACCAGACCATTTACCTTCAAAATCGTGAGCTTGCTGCCCCAAATCATGAGATCATCTTCAAATGCGTGAGATTGCCCCCCGACTGGGAGACTACCATGAAAACCAGAATACCGCCTTCCCCATTGCGGGCCAGCCCCCAAAGTCAAGATACGACCTTGAGAATCAGAAGCCTGCTGCCATAAATCATGACCGTGCCCTCACAACCACGAGACCGTGCCCCCCAAATCACCAGACCACCTTCCAACCCCAGCGACTGCCCTGCAAAAATCACACGGTTACCGTCAAAATCACGGGCTCGCCTCAGAATCCCCCAACCGTCCCGCTAAATCGTACGAGCGTCACTGAAAGCAGGAGGCTGTACCGCAAAATAACTAATTCGCTGTCAAAATCAGGAGAGGGAGCCAAAATCATAACGATCCCCCCGAATCCCGAGACTGCACCCAAATCACAACATTGAAATCACAACTCCGAAATCACAACTGCCGTCAAATCACAAGATTTTAAACAGTCATAACTTTGGGGTCTTTATTTGCCTGCTGGGTTCCTGGAGCCTGGGGAAAAACATCACATCTTTACGCTTTCCTCCCCAACCACGGGAGATGGAAACAGACAATTTTAGTGAGCCCAGGGGCTCCAAAATTCACCAACTCCAGGCGGAGTCACATCTAGATACAACTCCCGTATATTGAGATGTGATGAAGAGATGAAGCAGACAGGTCACTACTGTACGGGATGGATAGATAGATAGATAGATAGATAGATAGATGGGGTGTCTGGGGATAGATAGATAGATAGATAGATAGATGGATGAGGGGTGTGGGGATAGATAGATAGATAGATAGATAAGAGGTGGTGGATGGGGATAGATAGATAGATAGATAAGAGGGGGTAGATGGGGATAGATAGATAGATAGAGGGGGTGGATGGGGATAGATTGATAGATAGATAGATAGATAGATAGATAGATAGATAGATAGAGGGGGTGTCGGGATAGATAGATAGATAAATAGAGGGGTGGATGGGGATAGATAGATGGATGGATAGATAGATAGATAGTGTATGGGAATGGATGGATGCATGATGCAGTGTTAATCACTCGCTCTCTCTCTCTGTCTCTCCAATATCTCTCTAGACCATTGTCCTCAGCTCCTTTGTTTTGATGCTGAGATGTCATCCTCCCCGCCCCCCACCCTGGCCTTTCCGGAGGCAGCTGGCCTGAGAACCAGGAAGCCCAAGGCTGTGGCAGAACCGCCTTCTCGGTTCACTTCCCCTGCCCCCCTTTCCATTTCTGGGTGTGTGTGTGTGTGGGGGGTCCCTCTGCGCTGAATCCCATCACTACAGGGGCCAGCAAAGGGGACCCCATGGCCCTGCGTGAAAGCGCCTGCCTGGAGCTGCAATCCCAGGGACAATGAATAGTGTGTGTGTCCCTGCTGCTGGGGAGAGAACCCAGGAGTCCTGGCTCCCAGCCCTCCCCCGCTCTATCCCACTAGGCCCCACTCCCCTCCCAGAGCTAGGGATAGAACCCAGGAGTCCTGGCTCCCAGCCCTCCCCCCCCATCCCACTAGGCCCCACTCCCCACCCAGAGCTAGAACCCAGGTGTCCTGACTCCCAGCCCTCCCCTCCTCTATCCCACTAGGCCCCACTCCCTTCCCAGAGCTAGAACCCAGGTGTCCTGGCTCCCAGC